TTTTTTTTTATTATTAAGCATTATATTTATAAAGAATTACGTTATTTTGATTTAAACTCTATGTACCTTCCACAGTGCTGTAGCCGTACAGGAAGTCTGCATGAGTAGGAATTGTGTAACTCGCGTCGGCTAAATCCGTAGCAGACCTTCCTTGTTGAATAGCGTTCATGGTTGAATATCCTTTGCAAGCCTACGAGGAGTGACAATTATTAAACGATGGAGTACTTGTTACAGTGTTGGTTTAATTGATCGTTTAGTATCGCTCCGTTCTCTCCCCTAAAAATCGTATAAGATCACTCACCTGTATGAAAAACAGCTTCGGTTTACCGGCCAACGTTCTACAATTGTCCGCGGTGAATTGTTCCCAGATATCGGATAGCCGATAGCGATAATCCTTCGCGTACACATAATCACCGCTAGTGCCGTGGGTTAGTATGAAAATGCAGATGCAGTCGCAGTCTTCGTAATTTTCTTTAGATACTGAAAAAACAATCGGTACGTACAGTATATAATTAATGGGCTCGTGCACGATCAATATTATTTATCGTGTACTCGTACTTTTATATCAAATTCTAAGAACATACTAAAAACGTACGATTTGCAATCTCTTCCATGACATCTTCGTAATTCAGGTCCGGATGAGTTGTCACCTCGAAATCCATATTGTTAAAGGTATATTCTATCGCTTTCTGATCGTACTCGGTCCCCTCTCGACTCTTCTGGTTATCAAAAATTTTGTGATTGAATATCACGCATTTGCCGCGCTTTTGCAAGTTCATCGGATAAACCTCCAAATCTTTGTACATTGGGACGGTATGAACGATGTCGTTCGTATACGATATACCACGTGTCACTCGAGCGTCCCTTACATCCGCATTCTTCGTGCAATTACTCTGGAAATAATGGACTTCATTTTATGAAGTCTTTCTAGTTTCCCGGGAAAAACTGTCATTTCCTACGCATATATGGTAATTTAATTGTATTAAAATGACTCGTACTTTGAAGTCTACTTTCTCCCGTTAGAACTTCGATAAGAACTTCGCTTTTTAAAACAAAGACAAAAAAAAAAAAAAAAGAAAAACACGCGAAGCGATCATTCATCAGGGGAGGATTCATTATTTTTCACTTATTGATCCTCGCTATCTATTAACATGGATTCTCTTTGTTTCCCGTATCTCTTATCACGGCTGATGTTCAGCGTGCATCCGGTGTTTTTCACAATTCAGAAGATAACAAAAAAAAATTCGACTCTTTTGTAACACGTACATACAAACAGAAACTGAAAGTGCGAAAAGAAATTTCTGAATAATTGCAGCATTCTTCTACTTTTAACGATCGGACAGTTTCAAGGCTCGATTACGTGACTACGGAATATGATTGATCTATGAATCGAATTTCCAGAAATAATTTACCAAATTTACAACCCAATCATTGCAATCACTGGCAGTGCTTTGTTACAGATAACACTTCGTGCAGCATACCGGACAAAAATAAAAGAAGAAAATAAAAATCAAATTTAGAATCGAAAGTAACATCATTTATTGAAAAAAACATCAAATTCCACGCATTTATATCTCGATTAGTATCTCTCAAGACTCCGTTATCAGAGCCATGCGACATTTATGGCCCACATGATTGCCAAACGAAACAAGCTACACGTTTACATACTATATGACAAGATAAACATATACAATATTACATATAATTCTCACATAATCGTCAATTACGCGATGAGCATAAAAACTGACTATGTAATGTATTTTAGGAGCGAATTAGAAGTTTCCGCAGAACGAAAAAAAATTATTCGATATACCGTGGATTACATGTCTCATTTACCTCTGTTGCTTCACACTCCGAATTCGGCTCGCCATCTGGAGAAGAAATCGCCAGATGTTTTTTCAAAATGTATTTCATAGCGGCACGACCGAAGCTGATGATACAGAGCATGAAGACAAACATTTTGCAGACACGTTGTTGTCTTTCCAGTTGATCTTTGACTGATTGATTCTCACGTTACTTTATCCTTATCAATAGTCGATCGTTATCGCATGTGTTTTACGAACGCTGACCACTAACGGCAAGAATTAATTTCCAAACAGAGAATGGTCTATGTAAATTTTTATAGAAATATCTGATTGGACACATATAAATATTATATGGATTTCCTCTTTGAAATGAAGACGAAAACTATTTTAAAATATTCATACACATATTTTGTTGAAATATACAATTATTAGATCTTAAATTTTTATTAAGTTGATATCAAATTGGTATTGATATTTTTATCAAATAGGTATGCATATTTTAGTTAAGAATCTCACTTGATACTTTTCATAAAACGGATATTAATTAGTATCAATATAAAGTTAATACAGATTATAAAATAAAGTTAATATAGATTACAAACTATTATATATAAATATAAAGTTAATAATTAAATAAAGTTAAATTAGATTATAAATAAAATTAATATAGGTTACAAAATAACAAAATCTTCATTCTTATTGATTTTTCTATATTCAATATAATTCATTCAATAAATTATATAAATAAAGAAATTATTACAAATATCTCGTACAATTTATCATCTTCTCTCTATGTTAAATTCCATGTAGGTATATATAGTAGAGTAACTTTAAAATGCAATAGATCCAGATGGAAATTTGTTTTGCTCTAATTATTACAACATTTATTACATTTCAATCATTTCATGTATTTTTGCATATTACGTATATTTTCACATCTTGCAATTTTTCATAAATTCATAAACATACACAGTTCAAGATACAACACTACAACAGCACTTGTGTTAAAATTTTTCATAGATATCAAACATCAATTACTTATCAATAATTGTAAATTAATTGTTTTTTATGTTTATGCACTTGTAGAAATATCTGTGAAAAGATAAAGATTTTACATTATTCAGGACATGATTCAGAATCGTTGATGATCAATGATATCGTCTGTATCAATATTAAGTAGCGATGATGACAAATCCTGTATTATTTCTGATTGATTTTCATATTGTCCTTGACAGATATGGTTCAATATAACTTATATCTTAGATATATGATTATATTTTATTCAACCTACCTGATAACATATTTTCTAGTAGTTTATGAAAGTACTTTGTTCAATTAAACAAAACGTATAAAATTTCTAGATTTTTTTTCGAAGAGAGAAATTTCGCATGTTGCAGATTATTGCGGTAATCCGTAGAGAGTCATAATTTCCGGAAGTACAGAGTATCATCCTACGTCCAATAAATATCGAGTATATAAATTGACAACGAATAATAACTCGATAAAATTTCAGTGAAATTTTTGAAAAAAATAAACTGCATTCAAAATTCTTCCTAAATTTGTTATTTTCGTACAGAAAACACTTTCTCTATAATATTGTAATTGACGTACACATTAAAGACATTTTTATTGCTTGCGCATGATGATATCTCGAAGAAAAGAAAATTATATAATTTGCAAATAGAAAAAAAAAGAAAGGAATTAATATTAATAGCAAAAGTGATCGTCCCTATATACTTCGACAATATATGTGAAATGCACATTGCATATGTAATTATTCAAACGCATCTAATGAAATATCAAACGCAAAAAGCATAAACTACGTATTCGTATTCAGCTTATATATATATATGCAAGTGACGATTTTCACTAATACTATTAAAAAGCAAAAGAAATCCGCCATATTTTCCTATATCTGCTAATATTCTTTATTCATTGTGAGTGTAGCAACTTTTGAAAAGTAATTTTTATTCACTTCGTTTCATAGTAAAATTGCGATTTTGCAATTATATACTTACTATCTGTTTTGACACTGTCTCGCTATGTAACCCATGTATCTTTAAGTGCAAGAATATTTCGTTCACCACGCAGTGCATTGTGTGTGTCACGATTATTTTTGTTGATTACGTCGCATTACATGTTTGATAACGTGTTTCAATTTAATTCACGTATCATCATTTATTTGTAAACATTTATTTGTATTTGACAGCGTATTTGTCATCTACGATGTTTCGTTAACCTCAGTTTCTATAATGAAAGGAGAATGTTCCGTTTGCAAAAATGCGTTTCCAATTTGCGCCAAAATAGATTAGATCGTGAATGTATGAATTGATTATTTTGGGACGAATTGTACTAAGTACATAATAGTACTTCGAAAAATTCATTTAACATTAAAATTGCTTTAACGGGACTAATAATTTCATGATGATTTGTTTTAATATCGTTATGTATTTGATTTCAGACATGATTCCATACACTTCACATATGGGATAAATTAAACGAGGATTTGAAAAAATACTATTTTCTGTGCAGATGTGATCATTTCAAGTATCGTTCCAAAATGATAAACGCGATTCTGAATCCTTGTGTTAATTCAAATGTTTCGCTTGGAATAGACCAAGCATGTTTGAGTATTTTGAATTTGTATCTTAATCCTGTCATCTTTTATGCAATAGCATGGGAAGCTTATACGGTATGTATTCATTTCATTTTTGAAATTAAGATGTGTATTTTAAACAATTGGTAAATTATGTGTAAATTATTGATTTATAGGGTACTGGTTTCCCAATAGCCACTTTAAATCCAGAGAGTAACACAAGTTTAGTAATAGACACAAAATATCCGTTACACATATATTACCAAAGTGTTGAACCAAACAGGACTTACGAGTATTGTCAGTAAGTATTCTTTCTTCTATATATCACTGACAAGTATTTTTGCCTAATGTACAAATATATGCATATTTATTCCCAATCATCTTTATAGCTCAACATATACCTTTAAAGAACATGGTAGTTATGGATGGAATATATCAGCTGCTGATCTATGTTCTAATATTTATGTGATACATGAACCAAAAAATCCCTACTTTCGTAAATAATTTTATGATACATTATCATAATTAATATAATTCATCATAAAATATTAATAGATTATTTCTTTTGCAGCAATTTTGATAGCATTTGTAATATATATGTTATTAGCAGTTGTATGGATAACATCTAAAATTGTTATACAAATAATAAGGAGAAAATTATCGTCCAATAATGTATATGATGTAAATATAGTTTGACATCTTATTATATACATCTTCATTCTATTTTGTTTGATTATATTTTATTCTAGGATTTAGATAGGCTTCAGGAAGAAAATCCACCAACACATCCAGTAATAAGAACTACAAAATTCAGCAGCAGAGTACAATCAGTAGATGCATTCAGAGGGTAATTTTATATTTTTAATTTGTTTTTCATTTCTTTGCCAATTTAAATATCACATTTATTTTAGAATTGCAATATTATTGATGATATTTGTCAATAATGGAGGAGGAGAATACGTTTTCTTCAATCATAGTGCATGGTTTGGACTTTTTGTAGCTGATTTAGTACTTCCTTGGTAAATAATCATTTATAATTATTATAATTATTCAAGCATTACAATGAATAGTTTACAGGTTCGCATGGATTATGGGTCTGACAATAACAATTTCAAAACGTGCAGAACTTCGTTTAACAACATCACGTGTGAAAATAGCTTTATGCTGTCTTCGACGATCGGCAAAATTGATACTTCTTGGATTAATGTTAAATTCGATACATAGTAAATCTTTAAACGATCTTCGTTTTCCTGGTATTCTTCAATTATTGGCTATATCATATTTTGTATGCGCCGTATTGGAAACAATCTTCATGAAACCTCATTCCCTGGTTTGAATATAATTATTTTCATTGCATATAATTCTTGCATTTATCTAATTGGTATCTACAAAAATTACTCATTAGGATATCTTACTCCAGTTCGGCCGTTTCGCTATTATCCGAGACATCTTAGATAGTTGGCCTCAGTGGTTAATTATGGCAGGCATTGTAACTACGCATACATTAATTACCTTCCTTCTTCCGGTATCGAATTGCCCAACGGGCTATTTTGGACCAGGTGGAAAATATCATTATCGTGAACATTATGTGAATTGTACTGCTGGCGCAGCTGGTTACATAGATAGATTGATTTTTGGAAATCACTTGTATGATAAAGTGAATAATTCTATTTATGGTGAAATTTTACGCTATGACCCTGAAGGTAACGAATTATAAAACTTTACTTCAAATTTTAATAAAAAATTTTCATATATAATTTGATATCCGTAATTAGGATTGATGAACACTATATCCGCTATATTTATTGTTTATTTGGGAGTTCATGCTGGCAAAATTTTGTTGCTGTATTACCAGCCAAATGCTAGAGTGATTAGATGGTTTGTATGGGCGGTATTTACGGTGAGTGATTAAAACTGAAGCTTTTGAAAAAATTTTTTATTTCCACTAATGAAAGTATTATTTTTTTAAGGGTATTATTGCTGGATTCTTATGCAATTTCGAAACTCAAGGAGGAGTGATTCCAGTTAGTAAAAGGATGATGACATTATCGTATGTTTTGGCTAGTTCTAGTTTAGCTTTCTTATTGTATGCACTTTTGTACATTCTTATTGATTATAAACAATTATGGAATGGAGCTCCATTTATTTATGCTGGTATGTATTAATACATAAAAGAATTATTATGTAAATAAATATGATCTTTTGTATGAAATTATGTATATTATTTTTTTATAGGAATAAATCCAATTTTTCTTTATGTGGGTCATATTCTGACAAAAAATTTATTCCCATGGGCGTGGAATATTGCTCATCCTTCCCACGCATCTGTACTAGCTATAAACTTGTGGACAACGACTTTGTGGGCAATAATTGCATATCTTCTTTATCGAAATGATATTATCATAACTGTTTAAAAATATTCATATTATTATAATAATGTCTACGACTGTTTTAATATGAATGAAACATTTTTTAAAAATTTTGTTTCATCGAAACAAAAAAAAAAAAAA